CCACACTATCATATGAGTCTCAAAGAACATGAAGAACAACGTCGCCAAGTACAAGAGCTTCTATACAAGGGACATATTCAGGAAAGTCTTAGCCCTTGTGCAGTACCTGCCTTTCTCACACCAAAAAAAGATAGCACATGGAGGATATGAGTGGATAGTCACGCAATTCACAAGATTACAGCCCGCTACATATTTGTTATTTCTACGGTTGGATGATCTTTTGGACCAATTGTTTGGAGCAACAATCTTTTCGAAACTGGATTTGAAAAGTGGGTATCACCAAATCCGTATACGGCATGGTGATGAGTGGAAGACGGCATTTAAAACTCGTGATGGCCTGTATGAGTGGTTGGTAATGCCTTTTGGGCTCTCTAATGCACCAAGCACTTTTATGCTTGTGATGAACGAATAAATGTGTGTTTATGACATATCGTGTTATTTTCCTTGGATACGTGGTATCTAAGGATGGAATATCAATTGATGAGTCCAAGGTTGAAGCTATTTTAAACTGGCCTATCCTGAGAAATATTCATGCAGTGCGTAGCTTTCATGGGTTGGTGTCCTTTTATTGCCGCTTTATACCTAATTTCAGCGTTCTTATGGCTTGCAGAAGACTACTGATGCAATCAATGTCGCTCAGCTATTTTTTCTAGAAGTTTATCGTCTTCATGGTTTGCCTTCGTCCATTGTGTTAGACAAAGACACCCGTTTCCTTAGTCATTTATGGCATTGTTTGTGGTGTCTATCTAAGACCAAGCTTGATTTCAGCAGCGATTACCATCCCCAAACCGATGGACAAACTGAAGTCGTGAATTGATCTTTGGGTAATTTATTGTTGAACATCTCAAGTCTTGAGATCAGAAATCATATTAAGCAGAATTCGCCTTTAACCATTCAGTTAATCGCAACACTGGCTTTAGTCCATTTCTTGTCAACTATGGATACAATCCACGACCTCCAATTGATTTAGCTCTTGTTGCTTATTTAAAGCGAGTTTATGGCAAGGCTGAAGATTTGATTTCACAACTCCAAGATGTCCATCACACAACACATGAACGCTTGGTGGACGCTACTAACAAGTATAAACATGATGCTGATGAGAAGCGTCGTTTTGTGGAGTTCAATGTTGGAATTTTTGTTTGGACCATTCTTACCAAGAATCATTTTCATGTTGATGAATATAACAAATTGGCTTCTCGCAAATTTGGACATGTGGAAATCCTTGAGATGATTAATCAGAATGCTTAGAAATTGAAGCTTCCCAGCCATGTTCGCACTTTTGATGTGTTCAATGTGAAATATCATTTTCCTTTCCATGGTACCAACTCCAACGACGATCCAAATTCGAGGGGGAATTTTTGCCAACCCCGGGAGGATGATGGAGTTATGATTGATCATGATGAATAAAGTCTATCCTAATAGTCTATCTACATTTGAAGTCTTTCCACATTTGTTTTAATTACTGTTGAAGTATTGAAATAATGTTTTAATTACTATTTCAGTATTTCAATAATGCTTAGAAGTTCATGGGGCCAAACGTTTGTTTTTGTGTTGGCTATTAAAGCTGGTTGGCTAGTAGACTTCAAAGGTAGTTTATGTTTGTTTATTGAATGAAGATTGAGATTTTTCTCTCATCTCTTTACTCTTTTCCTGGGTATTCTCAAAATTAACAGATTAGAGTTTTAATTACGAGTATTCATAGAATCAACAGAGTTAAGTTTGCTTGAAATTATTTTTTGTTTTGGTGCGCTGCATCAATTATGGTTTAGGTGTTTGGTAAAACAATGAAAACCATTTTTACTTTGAATTGAAGGTCAGTAGCAATATTCTTTAGAAGACGCCGAGAGATTGTCTTGGCTACTTTAAAATTTGTTGTCAACGGAAGCATCACAGAGGTTTGAATGAATTTTTCACTATACCCTCATTGTTCACGGTTGTTTTAAAAAATGATGTGATTTGCCCTCAACATTTTTTACATTTAGAACTTAGACCCACCCAACCCATACTTTTTATATTCACATCACTTTTACAAATATACCCGTTTGATAACCATTTCAATTTAGTTTTTAGTTTTCATTTTTCATTTTTCGTGCTAGATTATAGAGGAAAATGAGAATGAGAATGAGAGTGAGAGTGAGGATGAGATTGAGAAAGAGGATGAGAGAGAGAGGATGAAAGGGGAGGATGGAAGGGAAGAGTAACAAAAGTGAAAACAAAAACTTGAAAGTGAAAAGAATTTCAAATAGATTTCAGTTTTTAGTAGTTGTTTTCACTTCTGTTACTCCTCCCTCCCATTCTCCCCTCTCATCTTCTCTCTTAATCCCATCTCCACTCTCATTCTCACTTCTATTCTCCCTCTTTTTCCTTTATTCTCTAGCACAAAAAAATGAAAACTAACAACTTAAATTGAAATGGTTATCAAATGGGCCCATATAAACACTTAACTGCTTCACTTTACGATTGTTTATTCTCATAGCACATTGGTGTAAGTGTCATATTTGTAAATTGGCATTCCCTAGCCTAAGCTTCTTTTCTATGTAAACACTAGGATGTTTTAAATTGAGTATTAAGAACAGTTATGAAGTTGGCAAAGCAAGAGAGATGCGGGTAGAAGATTGAAGTTGCACATATTCGACCGTTCATCATCAAATAAGGCTCCATATGCATTTAGGTGAGGTAAGTTAGACTTAGATACCATGTATGCATTTCTAGGTGGTTAGCATCATTTAGAATAAACTTAAAACGTTTTAACATTGCATTCATGCATTCATGCATTCACAAGTGCTTTGGTATTGAATAAATCAAGTTTAAATAAGTTTAGGTCAATTTCTGTTCACTGCCGCTCGAACGGGCTTATTGGTGCTTGAGCAGTGCACGCGTCTAAATATTCTGTTTTTTGTCGAACACGGGATTTCAGTTTTCCTATTTTGTTTTTCACGTGTTTCTTCTTGGAATCTTTGTTCTAATTTTATTGAGTCTTTTTACCTCTTCCTAGTGTGTACCTAAAATAAGTTTTAGGTCATATAAATACCTTATTTTAGTAAACATAAAATTTGGAACTCACATATTCTGAAATTGGCTTTTTGCATCAAACCCTTGTGAGTTAATTTTTATGAACTCTTGAGTTTCTTCTTCATCATCTTTACTAGAGTTCATTGAGCATAACATCGTTAAGTTGATTGGATTGTTCCTTGTGAATCTAATTAACCTAGCACCCACATCATATCATTCTCTTCGTTGGAGTGTTCATGCCTTGGTGGTGATCGACGATCGTGGAGGTTCGTAGCGCTATCAAGATCAACGACGTGGAATCGATTTAGAGACGTGTCAAAGCAGTAGCAAGAGTGAGAATTGGTTGCCGCAAAGGCATAAACGTTTGAGTCAATTAAGTCTCTTTTGTACTGCTTTTGTCTTAGTGGATTGGTTTTTGCCTCGCAAAGTGGCCGTGGTTTTTAAATCCTGTCTTGGGGTTTTTCCACGTTAAAATTCCCTGAGTACTTTATTTTATCTTGCTTGTTTGATTAATTTGAAACTAAATTTAATTGGATTAAATTTCAACTTTGTAATATTAAAATTGAACTTAAAACCTGATAAAAGCCTATTCACCCCCCTCTAGGCCATTGGGTGATATAGCCACACAATTTCAATTAGAATATTTTTTTTCAAAGTGAAAGAGTCTAAGGGATGAGGCTAGAATAAGGATAATGAGGTCCTATTATACTATGTTTGTCTTTTGAGAGAAATGCAGTAGATTGCATTCATAATTCATGCATAAAGGCCGTCAGCCACAAAGGCCAATACGAAATACAAAGAACTAAGTAGGGAAGAGTTCACCTACAACACAATAATCACAAAGGGTTAATAAAAAAAGGGAAGAGCCCACCTACAACACCAAACGCACAAGGTATACCCCCACTCATACATAGAGCCACATAAATTGGAGCATAAAATCCACAAGCCTAGACAAACTAGGCAAAGGGCTTAGGGCACAAAACTACAACTGCAACTACAACATTTAAACTCTCACAAGTAAAACCTACAAGTAGAGACTTCAAACACGCAAAAAACTCAAAAAGAGTTGATATACTTAAAATTGTAGAGAGATGGAGGCCATTGACCCCCAATGGGGACAACGACTGAAACTTTTCTCAGCTTAGGTTTTCTCTCTTAGTTCTTGCTAGTGGATTACTTCCTAACTTGCTATAGTATGTGATAGCTGATAACTCGGTCAACTATTCCTAATCGTTGGATGAGTTAAAAACAAATCGAGTGGTGAAACTACCATACACACTATGATACATTTACCTACAAGTAATGGGAATAAGAAGAAAAAGAATGATTTTCATTCCCAACTTTTCCTACGTTTAGTTACATAAGGAATCATTTAATACGAATGTCCCACCTTAAAATTATTAATCAAATGTCCAAAAATCATGATTCGGATAAACTAGGTTATTCTTGTTGATATGATTATCATCCTTTATTTATCACATTCATTTTCATTTTATTACCATCACTTATTAGTAAACATGCCATGAGGATGAAGGAATTGAAAATTACATAGAATTCTAAAATGACATAATTTAGATTTCCATCATTTCAATTTCTAGCAATTAAAGATTTCAGTATTTGGATTTATGTATGTCGAATTTGGTAAATGATACTATGAAAATTGTAAAATGACATCTATTTAGGGGGAAATTAAACTCAGGAATTTGATTTCTAAATTTCCACGATTTTTAACACCAGTTATTTAATAAATTCTGCATTTAAGTTGCCAAACAAAGGAATTGTCAATTTCTCCTATTAAATTCTCGACTTTTAGCTAAATTCCGAATTATTTTCCATTATCGAAAAGGAAGGGTAAAAGATAAAATGTTGGGGAAGGGGAGGAAAGCGAAAGCCTTGTGGAGTTGTTTGGAGAAAAGCAAAACAACAGTTGAGATGGGCAGCACACACAAATTAGTTTGTGAAACGAAGACCATAGAGAATCTCCAAAGGTTGACGTAAAAAAGAGAAGAAAAGTCCTAGGATTTGAAAAGTATAAGCCCCAGAGGGCGCTCAGAGCTAAGAAGAGACTTTCAAGAGAGAGAGAGAGAGAGAGAGAGATCCACTCCCGCATTTCCTGACTTCCAGGATTGAAGTGAAGGAGTGAAGTTTTTCAAGCATCCAATCCATGGCGTCCAGCTCCAGTCCTCAACGCCTCCTCCTTCTGTTATCTCTCATCATTCTCTTCGCCTTTTGTTCCATCTCAGAATCAAGCCAGGTACCCCTCGATTCACTCTCCACTTTCTGTTTGGTTCCCGAGAAAAACAAAAAATCTTACAGTCTTTTGATTATTTTGTTATTTCAACGTGTGTCAGTTTTGCGATGCTGGAATTGGATATGGCGAGTCGTGTGGCGTTTCTTCGTCTTCGTCGCCCAAGTTGTTGATCAAAGGCGGAACTGTAGTGAATGCTCATGAGATGGAGGTCGCTGATGTTTATGTGGAGGATGGAATCATTGTTGCTGTTAGGCCTAATATTAAGGTGCAATATTTCAATCTCTGTTTTCTTTATTCGGTATTTTTGTCAAAATTGGATGAATTTCATTGGTATGTTGTAGTTGAGCTTGCTGGTCATTGATTTTCTAAATCTTTAACCACTATTTTCTTTTTCCAAATATTTTTGTTTCTGCAAATGTGGTGGAGGTTCTAGTTTTAGTTACTAGAAGTGGCTCATAACTTCTTAAGTAACAAGCTGATATTGGAGGTCTAGTTATGACTTGTAGATAGGATATTGAGATTGGTAGGTTTGATGTAAATGCTTGATACTTTGGGGGCTTTAGGGGCAGTGAAGGATGTGGGTTTTGCATTTTCTGTAGTTTTCCAATTCGTGTGGACCTGTTTCCTACTAGTTTTTTTTATTAGTTCTGGACTACTGGCGCAATTCAATCCTCCGTCCCCATTTCTTTTCCAACTGATAATACAATTCGTAAACGTGATTATAGGATGAGTTTTTAGGGTAAATTCATCTCAATCAGTTTTATGGGGTGGGATTTAGGCACAGTGGATATGGTTATCTCTTTTCTTCCTTCCAGTCTCTTGTTATTTTTGGAGAAATTTGAGAGAGGTTTTGTCATGGAAGTTAGTTGAAAAGATTATTTAAATTTTGGTGCAAGGTTAGTTCCTCCCTATGTTCTAAGTTCTTTGTCGATGTGCTTTAATATTGGATTGCCAATTGATGTTGTGTTAAAGAGAATATAGAAGTGTATATAAGGGGCAAGGCAGCTCTTATTAAGAGTTTCATCCTGCGGTTTTCCAATCAAATCCATGCAAAAGGAGTGCCTAAGATGTGATTGAGATTTTCTTGTGGAGGTGTTGATTTTGGCATTAGTGAGGATGCTTTGGCAAAAGGATATTTTCAAAAGAATCATTTCATGATGAGGATGAGGCTGCAGACGTGGTTAGTTATATGGTCTGGTCTATTGTAAAACCTCACTGGTTCCAAAGCTTGCAGATTAGTCCTGATGCTTGTGGCAGAGTATCCTGTCTACTAAAGATTTTGAAAAAGTTGTTTTCTAAGAAGAAATTGCCTTTTTCTTTTTATGTAAAATAATCATGGATATTTTTGATCTCTTGCATAAACTTAAGATGGTGGTCTAAGAAGCATGGATGTCTATGACCAGGAGATACCTATAGATAAATTCATTTTTATGTAGAATTGACAAGGACAAACTATAATTCTAGTCACACCTATATATTAATTAAGTTTAAGTTGACTTTTAACTTTCGTATATATATATATATATATATATATATATATA